TGTGGTGTTGGTCCTTTAGTGAGTTGCAAACCTTTGTTCAAAGCTAAAAGGATCCTGCCTTTGCCTTCATTATACATATTTGAAATGTGCATGTTTGTTCATAAGCATCCACATTTATTTCAACGTAAGTGTGAAGTGAGTGAAAGTAAGGGTAGATACAAGAATAGGTTATATGCACCAGCAAATCGTCTAAGAGTTACAAAAAGAAATGCTTCTGCAATGTCGATAAGAATTTATAATAAATTACCTGATAATTTAAAGCGTAAAAGTTTATTGTCATTTAAGAAATCTGTTTTGGCATTGTTGCTCACTAAATGTTATTATTCTGTAGAAGAGTTCTTAAACGACAACGACCTACATACGAGTAATAATGAATGATAATTTTAGAATATGATTAATTACGTAATTACAAGATTCTAATGTTTAAAAAAATAATGTTTTTGATATTATTTTATATAAAATTTGACTTATGTATTTAATTAATTAATAAATTTGATGTAAAAATAGAAAGAAATTAATGACAATTGGATATGTAACATTATTTAATTATTGACATAAGAATAATAATTAATATATGACATTGACCTATAATAATAATCTTACTTGACATAATAATACTTATATATTTGATGGCATTTTCTGACACTGTGGCATAATAAATTAATTATCAAATCAACTAAATAATATTAAATAATTTTATATTTTGTTAAATTAATATATGTTGTTAAATTCGATAAGTGTTGTTGTTTAGGTTACTTGACCATTAATATTTGCACACCACTAAGGTAGAATATGTAGAACGAATTATACTCAAACACCATTGTACAACCATATTCTTGCAAATAAAGATTATTATTATTATTATTATTATTATTTGTAAACAGGAATTAACTATGATATTTTTTAAGATGAATGAAATTAAACACAAATTATTGGTACATTATTCTATATTATTTGATTTTAAAGTAGATAGACAGAGATTTTACCTAGTTTTGACAATACAACACATAAAACCAATATTTTATTCTAATGTTTATATCATTAATAGATGCTATATTTTGTATAGACACAGCTAGTGTCTATACAAAAATAGTAAATATTATTATTTTAATAAATTATTAAGTTTATTATAATAGATAATTATAACAAACTTTAATATTACAAAATATTAAGCTAATACTATAACGGCAAACTTAAACGGCTATGAAGCAATCCTAAGCTGTAACTACGCTTAGCAAGTGGGTTGGCAACTGCAGTTATTAGGAAGATCAGTGCATCTGCTGAGGTGTTTCCCTCTGTCGCCTCTTAGAATGACACCCACGTGTTGATAATATGGGGTTGTGGATATTCTGAGACCGTCACTACACGATAATCTAATATTTTTTTTACAATAAATGATTCGTAAACACAGCTTTATTATAATAAATAATTTTGTAATTTTTAAAAGCTTCAATTAATTATAGAGATCAAAAATTATAATACACAACATGAAAACGCTTTTTAACATAAAATTGTTTCAAAAGGACTTCTCCAAAAAGCACCTTAATGAAAAACAATGGGCAAACCCCTCGAAAACAGTGGTGAAGCACTTGCTATTTCCCTTGATTTTTCGAAGGCCTTTGACAGGGCTTGGCACGCTTGTCTATTGGGCAAGCTTTCAGCGTACGGCTTATCCCCTGGCCTGATTGCCTGGGTGGAGGACTTTTTGAGTGAAAGGTCTCTCCGGGTCGTCGTCGATGGCTGCTCATCCGGTACTGTGATGACTAAGGCCGGTGTTCCTCAGGGTACCATTCTCTCCGTAACTCTCTTCCTGCTGCATATAAATGATCTGCTCATTCCCGGAATCTATGGGTATGCAGATGACAGCACAGTTGTGGAGAGATACCAACCAAGTGCCCGGGCCATTCGGGATCAAGTTCAGTAAGAAAGAGAGGCTATGGTTGAGCGTGTGAGTTTCACACTACGGGCAGTCTCCGAATGGGGCAATGCCAATCCTGTTCGATTTGACGCCTCCAAAACACAAGCGTGTCTTTTTACCGCTAAAAGAATCCCGTTCACCTTGGCTCCTACTTTCCGGAAAGTATCCTTGGAGTACACTGACCGCCTTCAGTTGTTAGGAATTGAATTTTCTCCGAACCTAAATTATGGGCCGTTCATTGAGTCCAGAGCCAAAGAAGCCTCAAGGAAACTTGGTGTCCTTGCAAGGGCGCGGCGGTACTTCACGCTGGGGCAGCTTCTTACCTTATATAATGCGCAAGTCCGGTCATGCATGAAGTACTGCTGTCACATATGAGCTGGTGCTGCAAAATGCCACCTGGAAGCATAGGACTCAGTGGAGAGACGTGCTAAGACGATCATTGGTGACCTTGATTTGGTTGAAACCAATCTTGTCAGCATCAAGCACAGGCGCAGAAGTAGTCAGTCTCTCGGTATTCTATAGGATGCATTTCGGTGAGTGTGCTCAAGAATTACACGCTTTAATTCCTCCCTCTCCTTTCCACCATCGGACAACCATGCGGTCGGCGGGTCTTCATCCATTTGTTGTCGATATTCCACGCATTAGAACCCAAACGCTTTGCTTCGTCTTTTGTAATGCGTACAGCAAAGGAGTGGAATAATTTGCCGGCGTCAATCTTTCCGTCCGAATACAATCTGGGCGTCTTTAAGGCAAGAGTGAATAGGCTTTTGTTACGATAAGACAGTATGATTTACCATCGAAGGCTGCATCACCACTTACCACCAGGTGGGATTGTGGTCAAGCACTGGCTTATAATAAGTAAAAAAAAAACAATTTTTAAATGAATTTCAATAGAAACTAACTTCCAGTGTCTATTTTTATGTATGTATTCTTTGATATTATAACAACCCTTTTTGTACAATTTACCTTTAATAAAACATTTAAAATTGTTTAAAATATACTCGAGACATCGTAAAAGACGACATAGGGAAAAGAAACAGGAGATCAAGAAACAACAGTATCTTCCTGATAACAATCCAAAATAATAAAAAATTGCGGGTGCCAAACCACTAGCTATGTGGGCAAACTATGGCAAATATTCCCCCCCCCCCCCCCACGTTCAGCAGTTGACTAACAGGCTGTAATAAATGAATTAATGATGGATAATATATTGAGGGAGCAGAGAGGAAAACGAGTTAATATGTTCGTAATCGATTTATTGCTAGTTGTGATCTAGCGACAAAAGAGAAGGCAGACCGCGATTGTGCCGCTGTTATTGTAATATCATAGCAGTGCCCTTTGTGTACGTTCTGTGAAGCAAACACAGTGTCGATTAAGGAAACACAATTATTATTGTGTGAAACCCGTAATAAGTCTAAGCGCGAAATATATCAACTGAATTTAATTGGATTTCATAGTGACCTTTTCACGATATATTTTAAATTATACAATGATAGTACGAAATTCCGCATTATTTGACTACGCTTTTGTTGTAAGATTTCAGAGGAAACTTCCTTAAACTTTCTTAGATATAAATATGTATTACGAACCGGACTAATAAAAATCCCTAATTTTACTAAATCATAGTCTAAATGAATTTATCGACAACGTTCACAGACTACGAGTAATATGATGATAACGTTTTTTGTTTCGCTAATGGTACATCAATAGAGGTGTCTATGAAATGAAAAAACTGCAACAACCTTGTAAAAGAAAGAAGGTGAGAATAATATAGCTATATTTTTTTATATAACGTAAAATGTCATATACATAAAGAGTCAACTACAAGAATTTTGTTCTTATTTTATGTTATGTTCTAGTAATTACTCTGAGGTCTGCTAATGACAAATTTAAAAGTACGAAAAAGAAGTAACATATCTATCTCCTTCCAATACCCTACCAACTTCATTAGTAAAAATAGTATTATCCGATGCATACTGTTGCTGTTTTAATCCAATTACTATGGTCTATTTATTATTATTTATTATAAGGGTAAATAATGACCACAATCTTTGCTCTACATGCTAGCGCATATTTAGTACCTAGTATATATTTTTTAATGTAGCTCTTCCAAAGATAAAATGTACTGCTTGCACCATATACTGCGAAGACAATAGGGTAAAATTCATTCATTTATTAAAGCTCTTCACAAGTTCACTGCTGAACATAGGCCTCCCCCAAGGAATTCCTCGAAGCACGGTCCACCTCCTTTCATCCATCAACTTCCTGCATGTCTTACCAGGTTGTCACTCCATCTAGTGGGGGGCCGTTCTTCACATCGCCTACCGCTACGAGGCCGCCATAATAGTTTAAGAGTGTAGAATAAATAATAAAAAGACAAGATTATATTGTTATAAGACTATGAAACAGGATTGCGCATATGCGCTAGTATTTCATTTCAGTTTGTGGACAAGAACATACCCAAAGAGTATATTATAGTCACTACGTTTCAACCGCCAGTATATGCTAAGTGATGCTAAGCTGCTAAGTCTATGTTTTTTTAAATAAGTGGCTTTACGGCTCTGGGTTCTAGCCCTTCTGAGCCCGAAGTTACAATGTATAATTATCCTTCATAGTACACTGCTTGACAATATGTTGATGCGTCACATTGTGCAGCCCTTGGGAGATTTTGACGGCAACTTGAGCCAGCAGACAACTGACAGTTGGCGATGGTAACTCAAGGCACCTAACCAGACAGACACCTTATCTTGAGAATCACATCACCATCAGAACACTTGTTTTACCGTTTCCACTAATAATTCACATGCGCAGACATTTAATACACAAAATCACACCACTTTTATATATCAAAATCCACTTCAAACCATTATTTAAACAATAATACAGGAGCAGCAACCCGTCGACGGTCAAGTTCACGCCAAAACTCCTCTAAGTCTATGGTTTTCACCATACCAAAGAGCCCAAAGTAAAATGACGAGCTTTCTCTGTCTACGCGAGCGTAGATCGTAGAACGTCGTACAATATCTTTATCTTGCTACATATTTATTTATCTATGATCTTTATTACCAGACCACAGAGTACTGTTTCCTGTTTGCCATATTTCTAGTTCTACCCTACAAAAATAGGATTTCTAATTCAAAAACGTTAATTAGGCTTTTGATGATAATCAATGTCAAATAGTTTAATAATAATTAATATTATTTGTTTCATATGTACTTATTAAGGTTATGAAAGTTGCTTATTTCATCATCTCGGTGAAATGAAATCTTATGAAATAAATGTGTCATTATGCTTGTTAATTTTATAGGTGCGTATAAATAAATTCCGTGCTCTATTACGTCGTTCAGTAAATTTTCAACATTGTGATATGAAGAGAAAGAGTGATACAGCTTTAAATCTGTAGATATGGATGAAAGGAAATCTGAACTACAGTCGAGTTGTAACCGGTTGTAACTTAACCGTGCAACGTGAAAACATCGAAGCTCTGCAGGTACCACCATTTTGTTTGTTCCGTAGGTAGATGTAATTTTTTGCATCAGAAACAATATTTTACTTCTAAGGAAAAATACTTTATAAAGGCTATGAAAAAGCAGAGTAACTTGTATTGCAATGGAACTGAATACTTATTATTATTGTTTACTAATTCAAAATTATTAGTCGTAGTGGGTAGTAGTATTTAAAAACAAATTTGATTGATTTACGTTATCTAAAAGGTAATTAATTACTAGTTGTCCGAAAATCGAATGATTAAAAATATTTTCTCGACCCATACAATTTGAAAACTTAAATATTTTTTTGTAATATTATTTTTAAAATATATTTAAATTTATAATAGTGTATTTATGGCTAATATAACGAAGTTTAAGTTTTATGGAACTTACCCTTTTATAATAGTTATTTTACAAATTGAATTGGTTATGATGAGTGGTAAATATGTTCCAACATGAGAATGAACTATGACTTAAATTCTCAATGTAGGGTAATCATGCTACAATCAAAATATAGCTGTAGCATGGCTCTAACTTGAATACAATTTAAATTCTTGAGCATGGTTTGGTTGGTGTAATCCATTTGTGACTAGTTTTTCGACATATGGCAATTTTCCAAACATTTCGAACAGCTTATCACCAGAGTCGATATCCTCATTAAATTTGACACTTGCTAGTGCTTTTGATTGCACTATTCCTGTGTGTTAAAAAAATCAATAATAACAGATGGATACACTCCTTAAATAAATATCTAAGAGCTTGTGTTTTTTTAATTGATACAGCATATGCAGCCCATTTTAGTCAGTATAATGTGTAGATTGCTCTTTAGACATAATACTTATAATTAAAGTTAAATGTAAAATTACAGCAAATGTACAGGCACATACCTCCTCTAATTTCTCAAAAGGTTAAGGAGCAATAACTCTGCCACACTGCTCCAGTGTTTGTCGGCTTCTAAGTCTTTAGTATATTTCTGCATCACACATGCTGGTTTCTCCACAATATTTTCCTTCACTGCCGAATATGTGGTATATCAGCACTTTAAATTGCTAGAAACAATAAGATATCTTTATAGCCTTTATATGATACTCTTAATTCATCTCTGTTTCAGGCTTCAGACATAGAAGCATTTCTGAATAAGAAGAAACAAATGGGTGATAGTAGTAAAGGTATTACTAAATACGTTGTTACATCACCAATAAAGTTCTCCGTTAATGTGAAAGTAGAAAAATGTGATGTTGATTCTGAGAATAAAAATGAACCAGTTAAAGTTGTTAATAATGGCGCCACAACCAGCATGGATGAATGTGGTATTAATATATCAGAATCTATGGGAATAGACACAGGTACAATTATTTTTATAGTACTGTTAAATTGTCTGGTCTTTTTATAAGTGTTAGAGCCATGCTGCAGCTATATTAGTAGTATAGTTGTAATGGGTCAGCTCGACTGGTGAAGGATGACACTCTCACAGAGTACCAGTGTAAAATAGCAACTTAACACTGCTGTGTTTTGTATGGTGAGTGTAGAGAACCAGAGACCCTATTTACTAGAAAAGAGGTATTCCATCTTAGTCCTCACGGGTGACAACGCATCTGTATTTTGATTCTTTATTGAGGATAGATGTAGATGTCTATGGGTCACAGCAACCACTTACCATCAGATGGACTGTGTACTCGTTCGACATCCTATCATATAAAAAGAAAGTGCCTAGATGGCAACACGCACACATAATTTTTCCTACAGATATTAGATTCATACCCTTCCTTTTATAATATAAAAAATGTACCACAGTATGCCATAAACTTTACCACTTGTGAATACCAGCATAAAATAGCAGGTTAACGCTGCTGTGTTTCGTATGATGAGTGTAGAAAAACGGAGACCCTTTTTATTGGAAACGAGGCATTCCATCTAAGTCCTCACAGACGACAATGCATCTGCATTTTAATTTGTAATCGATGATAGATATGTCTATGGGCCACAGCAATCTCTTACCATCATCCTGTAAAAAAACAGACCATAATCCCTGGCCACCTGCACCCTTCGACATCCCTCATGTTTTACCAAGTTGACTACAGTTAGCCAGAGCTAGCTAGCCAGTCACTCTGGATTTGTGCCAAAAGAACCACCTTATTAATAAGATAGTAAACTAGTGAGAAAGCCCAGAAGCTATCATTGTTTAATAGGTACAATCAATTTATCAACCGACTTCAAAAAAGGAGGAGGTTCTCAATTTGACTGTTGATGTTAAAGTGTGTTATCTCATAAGTTTTTTCTACGTGAACCATATTTGATGATTCTACTTTATTTGAAAGCTGGTGCTTCTCATATGGTCCCATATAAATTTGATCAAAATCTGACCAGTAGTTTAAGTTATTAATAATACATATTTAAATGACTTGGACTACATTGATGATGTTCTCATCATTTTATTATGTCTCATTTTATTTATATATTGAAGTCGGTTGTACAAAATTTTTTATTTTACCACTTGTGTGCAAGCAGCATCTCCCACCACTGACTTCCCTATTTTGCTTTGTGTACTGTATGGCAATATGGCTATGCCACACCATATAGCCATATTGCCATACAGGCAATATGGCTATATGGTGTATGACAACATTTCAAACAGCCTCTCACCATAACCATCTCTATATAACATAAACACTCACGCCTGTCACCCAGAGGGGTAGGCAGAGACTACGGACTTCCATTTGGCGCGATCCTGACACACCTCTCTCGCCTCTTTTACATCCATATATCTACGCATTTTAGTTTAGTTTAGTTTAGTTTAGTTTACGACGGGCTGTTTTCCGCAACTCCACGTCTATGCGCGTATTTTGCGTGTGGGCAGGAATAATGTGATTATTCGAGCCATGAGATCTCTCCGAAGAAGCTCAACAGGCCCTTGATGTTGCATGCAACTTCGGGGAGTGATCCCGGCGTGCCGAGATGTTTAGCCCTGTATGTAGCGACCTCCGGACATTTCAGTAGCACGTGGGCCGCCGTTTCTTCCTCCCCCATACATGCCCTGCACAGGGGACTATCTGTAACACCTATAGTAAATAAATGTTTGTTAAAGGTGCCGTGTCCTGTGATAGCACTTGTTACTATCCTAATCTGCGGCTTGTTCAGTCTCATTAAAACTTTTGTTAAGCGACTGTTAATTTCAGGCAGGGCATCCCTAGCTTGTCTACAGTCTACTAGATTTTTCCAAAGCTGAGCGTGTTGATTAGTAAAGTGTCTACGTACCAGTGAACAAACGTTACCAAAGGGGATTGGTATGATCGGTTCCGGCCCTATAGTGGCCAAAGCCGATCCTCTTCTGGCAAGTTCGTCTGCTGCATCGTTGCCTCTGGATCCACTGTGTCCCTTTATCCATTGCAGGGTCACATTGTTGTTTTTACATACCTCATTTAATCGTTGATGGCATTCATATATTAGTCCCGAGTTCACCACATTGCATCTCAGGGCTTGGAGTACCGCCCTACTGTCGGTCAGTATTCTGATGGGGAAGTCATTAACCTTCCTAGCATCTATTGCTATGGCCGCTTGAATGATACCCATACATTCCGCCTGAAAGACCGTGTTATAGGTACCCAGCGGTGTGCATATGTGAATATTGAGGTCTTCAGAGAAAGCTCCACAACCTACACCTTCATTTGTTTTAGAACCATCGGTGAAAATTCTAAGCTCTTTTGGGCTTAATCCTTCCGGCTGGCTGTTTTCATTTAACTGTATCTTGTATTTCTTATCGAAAACAAATTGTTTAGGAATCCTATCGTATTTGGCTTGTAGGATAGGAATTTTTGAGTGAGTTCTATCAATTATGCCTGTATGAGGGACACTATTCTTACTCCAAAGATTTAGGGTCTTGAGTCTGATGGCAGCTAAAGTCGCTTCTTGTTGTATATGTAGATGAAGCGGAGTTAGCTCCAGCATCGCTTCTAAGGCTGCTGTTGGCGTAGTTCTCATGCAGCCTGTAGCAGCCATACATGCCAGTCTCTGGTAGCGCTGAAGCTTTTTAATTATGGTGGCTTCATTTGTCTTGGTCCACCATACCAGAGCGCCGTATGTGATCATGGGCCGAATTACAGTTTTGTAAAGCCACAGTATGATTTTTGGCGTCAATCCCCATCTTTTGCCAATCATGTTTCTGCATTGCCAGAAAGTTATACTAGCTTTGTTGATTTTGTTTTCTATGTGTTTATTCCAGTTAAGTTTGCTGTCCAAGGTAAGACCTAAATATTTTACCTCAGAGGATAGCTGGAGTTTTGTGCTAAAAAGACTTGGAGGATGATAGTTATTCAGCTTTCGTTTTTGTGTGAACATAACTAAAACCGTTTTATTTGGATTGACAGTTAAGTCGTGTTCCCTGCACCATCTCTCCACTATACGGAGAGCCGCTTGGGTCAGGTCGCACACTATGCTTGCTGTCTTTCCAGAGACCAGTATTGTCAGGTCATCAGCATAACCTACTGTATAGAAGTGATTGTCATTTAATTTGCTGATGAGTTCATTAATGACCATATTCCACAGGAGAGGTGAGAGAACCCCACCCTGCGGGCAGTCTTTCTTAATTTGGATTGGTTGAGATTCACCAGCAATCTTTATTATTCGTGTACTGAGCATGTAAACTATCCAGTCGATCAGTGCCGGTTCAACTTTGTGTCTACCGAGTGCACCTTTTATGCTGGAGAAGTTCGTTCGGTCAAAAGCACCTTCTATATCTATGAAGGAACCTAGACATATTTCTTTGTTTTGGATGGCCTCTTCAATCTTTGTAATTACCTTATGAAGGGCCGATTCTGTTGATTTGCCTAGACTGTAGGCGTGTTGCTTGTCGTGTAGTGGTAAGTTCATTAGCGCCGACCCCCTTAATTCCCTTTCACACATCCTCTCCATCGTCTTTAGGAGAAAGGATGTGAGGCTAATGGGCCTGTAGGATTTAGGGTCAGTGTAGTCGCTCTTACCTGGTTTGGGTATGAATGTAACTTTCACTTCCCTCCATCCCCTAGGAACATATTTAAGAGCAAGACAGGCTCGCATTATGGCAGCAAGTCTGACTATTAGGGCTTTACCCCCCCACTGTAGGAGTGCCGGGAATATGCCGTCGGGTCCTGCCGCCTTATAGGGGAGGAAACTGTGAATGGCCCAATGGATTTTGTCCATCGTTACCACTCTCTGTGCTAAATTCCAGTCTTCTGCTGTTGATGTCAGTATGTCGTCATGCCGGTTTGCCTCCTGGGTTACGCAGCAACCTGGGAAGTGCGTTTCAATTAGGATGCGTTGGGCTTCATCCGGCGATGTTGAGTAGCTACCGTCGGGTTTCTTTAGAGACATGGATCCCGACGTGTTCTGTTTAGCTAGAATATTCCTAATCCTATTTGCTTGTTTGCAGGTTTCTATGTTGCCACAGAATTTACGCCACCCAATCGAGCGTCGATACCTGATACATTTTTTGTATTCAGACTTAGCTTTCTTATATAATAGCCAGTCTTCATCCATTGAGGTATTCATGGCCCTATTTAGTGCTTTTCTTACCTTCTTACGTTTTCTATCGAGTTCTTTACCCCACCACGGTTGTTTTACCTCGGCATGTCTTGGTGGAGTGATTTCTGGACATGATTCATGGTAGCTGTCTATCATGGCCTTAGTAACAGCTGCTACCTGTTCTTCTAGGAGCGACTGATCTGCTATAGTATTTATCCCCTCAAAATCCGCTAGCAAAGACGTCAGCCTATTTAGGTATTTAGTTTTATCTGTCTTGCGGGGATTTCTCCATGGTGGTGTAGAGGGGATATCGACCTGTAGTGCGAAGCAGATCCATCTATGGTCTGAGCATGAGGCCTCTCTCGACACATGCCATCCCGTAATTAGTTTGGCTGCTCCTTCTGTTGCAAGTGTGAGGTCGATTATAGTGCGACAGCGTTTGTTTATGAAAGTAGGTTCAGAACCTATGTTTAAAATGGTTAGGTTAGTACTAAATAAATATTCAACTAAAACTTTACCTCGTTCATTTGGTTTTTCCATTCCCCAAAGGGGATGATGTGCGTTGGAGTCCGTCCCGATCACAACCTCTAGTCCGGTCCTCTCGCAGAAGTTCACCAGCCTGCTGAGGTCATGAGGTGGAGGAGTGTCTTCCTCCGGCATGTAGACCGAGGCGACGACTAATCTACTCTCCTGTGTGTACTGTATTGCTACGGCATACATGTCTCTAGAACAGAAATCTGTTAAAGGTTGTGCACAGATATCTTTAGTAGTGTAAATACACGCTCTAGGCTTGTCGTGTTCAGAGCTGTAGAATAACTTACCTTTTAGGTTGTTTAGGCCTTTAATTTTA